TCCTCATAAAGGTTCTCTAACCAGCTGGTGTTAAAGGATACCTCATTCTGTCTGCTCTGGACAATATTCTCAATCTATTGATAGAGAGACAAAGGAATAATGGAGGAGGGATAGCAACTGATTGCTGAACACAATGAACAGTTAAATCTACTGTTCAAAGGATTACTGTATGTTAACAGTTGGTTACTTATAAGGAGTTACTGTATAGTCCAGTGCTTGAGTTTAATAAAGGAAAGAACTTATATAATAATTCTAATATACATGTACATGTGCAGCTGACAAAAAACTTCGAGAAACATAATGAAATCCAGGAAATCTGTTCTGAAGATTAGTGATCAGTTTTGCAAAAGCACAGCTAGTACCTGTCCCAAAATATTTTATGTACATGTACATTATAGTTATACATGTATTATTACGATTGTGGCATTTCAATATTTCCGAATTGTATTATATCAATTAATGTATAAATAGAGCAGATACATGTACATGATTAATTAATTAATAATTATTATTAATTCAATATTAATTTACCAGTAAATTTTGGTCTTTCTTTCCAAGCTTGACTGCTCTCTCCAACTACACAAAACATTATCAATAAACTGACCACACCCACTGCCCCACCCACCACTCACCGTCACAATCTTAGCCAGCACAGCATCAATGTTACCGTAATTTAACGAAAAAACTAATCGCCTTTCTTTCTAAAGAAGGTGTGGTTTAGTAATTAATTATTAATTAATTAATTAATTAATGGCTCCGCCTACTTTAACGAAGCTGAAAGGTGCCATGATGTTTCGCTCTAACATTTCAGTTGATTGAGTGGCAACCAGAAGGAAGGAATTATCAGAAATACTGAGAAAAGAGGAAGAGGAGGAGGAGGAGGAGGCAAGGGGAAAAAGGAAAAGAGAGAGAATGTTAATACAGTACATGTACATGTAACTGATTGATAATACACTTAATGTATTAGATAATAATAATAATAATGTATAAAAATTATCAGTAAAAACGGCTGTAAATTGGAAAATTGTAGTTGGAATCAGCTGAAACTTTCAACACAGTATAAGGACATCAATATGTATCAGAAAATATAATAAAAATTTGGGGTGATTTCGGAGCCATTTTTTGGAAAAAACCATGGGCTATAGCCTTGGGTACTTTTCAGATTTTGGCCATTTTTAAAAAATGACTGTAACTTGAAAAATTGAAGTCGGAATCGACTCAAACTTTCTACACAGCATAAGGACATCAATATGTATCAGAAAAAGTAATAAAAATTTGGGGTGATTTCGTAGCCATTTTTTGGAAAAAATCATGGACTATATATGGCCGTTTTTAAAAAATGGCCGTAACTTGAAATTGGAATCAACTCAAACTTTTTACACAGCATAGGGTCATTAATAATAATTGTAATTTAATACAATAAGGAATTACTTTGAACTTTCTGTGAGGGATCCTCTAGAG